GGGTTAGGGTTAGGGTTAGGGTTAGGGTTAGGCTAGGGCTTTAAATTAAATGTTGCTGAACCGGCATGTTTCTCAGTGGATCTGCGCTCAAAAATGCAGCCTAGGTGGAGTAGTCAAACACAGATCCACTGATCCTTTAACACAGAGCATCTTCAGAAGACAAGCTGATAAAATAAATGTTAAAAATCTATATTGTTCGATACAAGTGTGTATCGAACCTAAAGCACTGTTCGATACGGTTCGATACGGGTACATGAATTGTTGCACCCCTATTGCTTACTTACTTACCTACTTACTTACTTTTGCTTTTAGAAATCAGGTTGTTTGATTAACATAGTGAACAGTATATTATTTTGAAACAGAATACCAAAAGTTTACCTCATACCTGCTAACATCTGCTGACCTCAATCAGGAACACCTGTTCATGTTAACGAGCAGCTGTGGAATGAAGCAGTTCTAGTGGGATGGGGTCTGGGGGTATACTCCCCCAGAAAAGTTTGTAAAATTTGAAGAGCATTTTTCTAAATTGCTGGGATTGATAAAACAACATAAATCAGTATTTTATGAAGGTAAAACACTGAAAACCAGACATTAACCTGAACTTTATTTGAGATCAGAACTGAAACTTTCATTATAATTATTTTGTTTTCTATTTAACATAATTTCTACKATTGGGTGCACCTGAATATAGGCTGATCCAACTAAAAAAATAAATGAATAAAAAATTGTACATACAATGTCTATTAGCTGCAGGTGTTCACATTTTACCATGAAATATTTCTACAGAACGATGTTACACAGGCGCTGTCAATCTCAACGCACCACCGACACTGTGTTTGTCAATTAATTAAAGCAGGGCGGAAAAATGGATTTGACTTACGCAGAATGTAATGGAAATTATGTCAAAGAAATGACTGGGAAATGTATGAGGTTAGTAAAAAAGTTACACTCAGACTATAATTATTTTTCACTTTTTTCATTGGGGGAACAAAACATGAAGCGACGCTGACTGTAAAAGTGATTCATGCAAGAATCCCACAGCTCAGAAAGCTGCCTGTTTATCGAAGGACACATTTTGCTCAAATTCAAAGATTGAATTTCAGAAGACTACCAGACTGCTCCACTCCTGCGCATAAACTCCAAGACGTAAAAATATATACATTATATGTAATACATAATGCATAAATTAGCCACATCATTGTTTAAGCTGCACTGTTCAAAGTTTGTGAAAAAAGTAGCAGTTTATAGTCCAGAAATTACAGTAAACACTAAGCACAAAAATATCCTCTGCACCATATAACACCTTATGTAGAAACCCACAGAAAAAAATTACCTTTATAAACATGAGTACCCAGTGATTCTACAGACTAAATCAACTATACTCTGAGAAAAGGTTACATTTTCTTTTTCATCCCCCATTTTTGGCGCACCCTAGATGTATGGTGCCCTTAGCATTTAGCTGCCTATGCCATTATCTGGCCCTGGCTGAGAGGAACCTGCTCCAATGAAACTGAAATTGATGAAACTCAGAAAGTAATCACCAGAACAACATCTACAACTCCTTAACGTTTGAAGTCGTAACTGATTTAGCGTGGCTGCCACAACTGAACAACATTAGAGCATACAGACATAGCCCCGACTCAGACAGTTTTTATAAAAATCCAGCTATCAGTGATATCAAATTGCACAAGATCTTTGTGGTGGGTGATGCAGATGCATTCTTGCAGGGAATGTTGAGCTACTTTAGTACTATCCGGTCATTATTCAGCCTTTTCTTGATGACAATTTGTTATTTTTTTGGAACAAAAACTTGCAACAATGACACTAGATTTTGACTAGATGTAAAGAAAAAAATTCTGACAGCAAAACATCTTTTTTTTTAACCTTAAACTCAATTTTAATTTCCCAGCAGCTACTGTGAGCAGTCTCGCCATTTAAATGATTTGGGATGAAAAAAAAAAAAAAAAGAGGAACATGAAACTTCAGCTGCTTCCACTGTTGGTGATCTCTTTAAAGTGGTTTCACACGGTTGAAATCCGTTTCTGTTCACACTGACACTAATTTAGATTCATACACACAGAAGGGATGATCACTCTGAAGGAAAAATAGACTCTTAAAGTGTTGCAGTTCCAAGAGCGCTCCGGGAAAGAGATTTAAAAAGGAAAATGAGGTTCTCATGCCAAACTTGGCTCACTGCTGATTAATAACACCGCTGACTGTTTATTTTCATGATGTGAGTTTAACAGAAACTCACAGCCTGTGTCTGTTCAGGTGTGCTCCGTGTCTGTGACCATATCGGGAACCCGGAAGAGGCGCACCTGTGAGCTGACGTCATCAGCTGAAAGTACCTGCTGGAACTCGCCATTCGCATTCAGACACTGAAACTGTCGGCAGGGAGAGGGAGAGGAAGGACTATAAGACAAAAGGACTCGCAGAGGAGTACTTTTGGTGACTTTTATTATAGGTTTTGTGTTTTTAACTTTGAGAGGAGGACTGACACGAGGCTGTACACAAATGGGGACCGCCTGGCTCGCGGTTTGGACGGTTTTGGTCATTTTACAGGTGAGACTTCCTTGTTTCCTCGTTGAGTGTTGAACTTTTCAAACAAAACACATCCGACGCTTTTCAAAATGTCTCCACGCTTAAATAGAGCAGCTTACTGGTACTTGAATAGCTTATTTATTAGAAATATCGTATTTAATGATAAAAAAAACAAAACAAAAAACTCTTTATCTTCGAGCAATAAAGAGTCTCATGTCAATAAACACACACTTTCATTACTCAGGGTGAATTAATTAGCTCAAATATGAATGTTTGTGAGTTAGGTTTGGGAAATAAAAGCGAAACTGAGTTTAACGTGATGTCCGTGAAAGCAGCGCACCCAGGTGGATCTAATGGTTTCGTTGGGCTCGAGCCTCGCCCTGCTTCTGTCGGAGCACCGGGAACTGACGGCAGGTTGATTTTTAACTCTGAGTTGGAACAGGTTCATAGTGTCTAGTTTTAACCATTATATTTTATCATGAAGCATCTCTAACTCATGTAAATAACTTGATTTATTTTGACTTTATTCTCTGTTTTTATAGTAATAAATAGGTTAACTATTTTTGTATAGGGGTAAATAAATGCTGGTACGAAATTTCGTAACTTAAACATTTAAAACACTTGAACAAACCATTATGGAAGAGCTCCAAAAATGATTTACCATATCCAGAGGCTCATGGTAAAATAAACTAAAAAATAAAGGTCGACTCTCAGGGTAAAGTTCAAGTTTCATGTGAATATTTTGTGTAATGATTTTGTGTATGCCTCTAAACTACAACAACACCAAGTTTTAGCACAATGATTGTAAAATGGACTGAGTTAAAAATTATAACTCAACTAACTTGACAATAGAAAACAATTAAGGTCATTTGGTTGTTGTGGACACCTTGATGTATATCAAATGATTATTACCAGTTTAACAGTTTAATTAAAATACATTTAGTGCTTCATGAGATGTTTTTCTAATGGACTTCAAATACTTAATTGTTGAATTTTAGACAAAGATCTTGCGCAATCTGTGTTGATCAGTCTGAGCTACAGCCAGAGCAAATTCTGGGTCAATATCTGCAAAATAGTGTTAAATATTTTTTAATGTGAGGTGATAAGTATTGGTCAATTAAACAGCATGCCTCCATTTTAAACTGTGCCAAGTGGTATTATTATTATTATTGTTATTGTTATTATTATTGTTATTATTATATGAAGAAGATAAGTTTGTCTGCATTGTAATAGTAAAAGACTGCATTGTAATGGACTTTGTAGATACTTGCATACAACATCTGCTTTTCAAAGAGTAGCTGGTTTTCCTAAATAACATTACAAATGAATGCTCAGCTATTGTAGACAATAAAACCCAAGTTTCATTAATCCTTTTTCCTTCCTCTTTTTAAGGCTTCGTCTCTGCTGGCAGCAGAGGAATCATGTGTTTCTGGATTTAAGTCGGATGTGTTGTTGTTCGAAGTGAGGAGCAGGCACCTGAGGCAGGGCACGAGACTGGGCAGAGGTATGAGGAAGCCATGTAACTGTTGTCTCACTTCCTCTGTAACACACACGTATTGTTCAAAGGCATTGTGATGTTCATTGGCTTTGTTAAATGTAGCTTTTTATATGGAAAGGATCTGATCATTTGCAGTCAAAGTGCTGCTTTTGTTTCAGGTTAACAGGTTTTCAAATCAGCCTGAAACTGCTTCAGGTCTCAGCTTGCACTCGACTCCACTCCCCCTCCTGATCCTCTGAACTGTGGGCCCAAAAATGTCCCCAAGCCTGTTCTGCAGGCTTGACTTTACAAAAGGAGGAAGACGCTCAAAACAAAAGTGGCAGCAGTTGGATTAGGGTCATAATTTGTGTATTTTCATAGTTCTTTCCTTTTTAAAAAATTTTAGTTGTTGTTTGTTGGTATATGTTAGCTTTCTTTTTTTAATTTTAATAATTCAGAAGTGTCTTTTGTGATCAATTAGATGGACTTAAAATTAAATGACAAGCATTATAAAGTGAACTTATACTGTATGTAACAATACTGAGATTGATCAGGGTGATGATACCTTTTTTTAGTACTTGCATCCAAATAAAATAAGCTTTTATATTCCTATAAATCTTTGTAGAAATTTGAAGGTACCTATGATAAACTCTTGAAACTGACTGGCAGAACATTCTGCATTAAATGGAGATGGACTGATAGTGGTTTAAAATATTTTCTATATTTTGCAAGTGTTTTTATAACTTTGAACTCCACATTTATAGATTTTCATTGAGAGGTTGTGGCATCTCCTACCATTATCTCATTTTCTTAGATAATGATGCAAGCAATTAGTATATGTATACACAGGGGTTATACAATGAAACTGAAACACCTGTCATTTTAGTGTGGGAGGTTTCATGGCTAAACTGGACCAGCCTGGTGTCCAATCTTCATTAATTGCACATTGCACCAGTAAGAGCAGAGCGTGAAGGTTCAATTATCAGGGTAAGAGCACAGTTTTGCTCAAAATACTGCAATGCACACAACATTATGGGTGACATACCAAAGAGGACAAAAAGTTGGTGCACGTCTTGCTGGTGCATCTGTGACCAAGACAGCAAGTCTTAGTGATGTATCAAGAGCCACAGTATCCAGGGTAATGTCAGCATACCACCAAGAAGGACCAACCACATCCAACAGGATTAACTGTGGACGCAAGAGGAAGCTGTCTGAAATGGATGTTATGGTCTGAAACCAGGTGTTTCATTGTCTAACCCCTGTAGATTTGTTGCTTCTGGTCAAGCTGAAAAAGGTCTAATGCAGGTCACTGGCTGAACAGTCATGTTTAAAGCCCAATCTAAGTGTCTGGTTGCAAGTGTAACATGATTCATTTGAGCCTGGTCATGACTGAACTTGTACTGATACTTCAAAATAACGCTGCATTCACTGCAGTTTATAGTTAAGAGCCTTATTTGGTTTCTTTTCAAAATTAGTTCTACTTCAACTGTATTGTCTTATTGAAAGGTTACGAGTTTAAAAACAAAACATGAATATTTTCAGCTATTTTTAAAAAGTCCTTCAGTTTCTTTTTAATTTTGTCATCTTATTTTGCAGCTWGTTGCCATTATGTTATAGTCTTTATAAAAGGGTTTAAATTTAGGCTGTTCTTAAAATTGCCAGTAACCGTGTTTCCATCAGTGTTTTTAATGTGCATTTTGAAGTATCGCATCAGAAAAGGTGAATGGAAAAGGCATGTTTCAAAAAAACTTACTCTAATTCGCATCAAAGTTGATACGCTTGCTTGAGGTGGTTTTTGTTTTGTTTTTTTGAAAACGAGTTAATGCGCAAAAGGAGAGATGAAAATGCATTTCTCGAATCAGTTCTGACATGGTGAACATTTACCTCACATGTTGATCAGCTGTTCTCGCTGTCTGTCCGAAACCGGTACCAGTACCAGAGCAACTGCAGCCGCGACTGCAGCTGGACCCTCCTCCCGCTATCAGCGTATTCTCAGTTAATCCCATAACGTGAAAAGAATTGCATTTCTTTCTCTACGTCTCCAGACGGCATGTAACATCGCCAGAACTAGTTGACAGAATACCTGTACCGCTAATTACAACTTTCCCGATAGCAACACATTCCTGATAATGTCTCCCCATTTTCCTGAGATGCGACTTTTACTTCCTGTTTACTACACGCATGCATCTGACGTAACTGATCCGCTTCAAGCCAGTTGATGGAAACACGTCTGATTTGCATTTTTTCATTTTTTCCTTTTTGAGAAATTTAAAAACTTCACTCAAAATTAGAATTGGATGGAAACACGGCCAGTAACTCTTATGTGTAACATTTGTAATGGCTAATTGTTTTTTTGTTTATTTTCAGTGGGGTTTTCTGACTGCACAGACCGCACAAGGTTTCTTTTCAGTACTGATGACAGCCGCTTCATGGTGCAGACGGACGGCATATTAATTGTGAGTGACAGACATCATCCTGTGCACTTTGTTTTAATAATTTCAAATAATAAAATAACTAATAAATAATAAAAAATAAATAAACTAATAAATTCAAATAATTTCAATAACTAGTTACATATTAAACACATAAATGCTAAAACAACTTGCTCATTTGTAGGAAAATATCTGTATAGAAATGAATCATTTCAGTGTTCAGAACAAGAGTAGTGATGGCTGAGTTTTTTTCCCCTTTTAACTACAGCCCTCACAATCTGAAACAATAACTGCTTTTTTACATTAAAACATATAAAGACTTGTTTAATGTATGTCTTAAAGCCTCAAAATATTTGGCAGAAGCTTGATTAATGAGAAACGCCTGACTGCCAAATAGCCTCGAAACAAGATAAGAGTTTTACAGAAAAACTAAATTTTCAACTCGATTCAGTGTGACTATTTTATAAAACCAGAATCAAAAACACCATATGCGATTTGTGATATGCTGCGCTACATTTGTAACTTTTTTTTTTATTATTGGTAGCTGTTTGTAAATGTTTTAGAACATCCTCAATAAGCAGCACTCTAACCTCACCATGGCAGCTACATCTAATCAACAGAAGATAAACCTCATCAGCTTCTCGTATTACTGTTCTTTTTATAGAGTTTACCTTCAGCTTCGACTTTATGACCAAGGATTTAGGACAAGGCTTTTTCAGCAATGTTACTGCATTTTTATCATGAATGCAATAGATTTTTATATGTAGTAACTAAACAGTGACTCTTGTACAATTGATTCATGTTTATTTGAAGAGGTGAAAATTAATTGTAAACTTTGCTGTAAAATAATTGGTGGACAATATAAATGTATCAGTAGTTTAGCATAAGGTTTTAAAAAGCAGATATTTAAACTTTGTAGCATTTTGGAAATACTGTTAATAGTTGTTTTTATTTATTTTATTTTATTTTTTTCTGTCTGCAAAGCAAATTGCCCCTTGGGAACAACAAATTGTATCTAATCTAATCCAGTGCTAGCATTTTGTAAACCCAGACTTGTTGCTAACTTTAGGTTGTTCTTCTCTTCCTGCAGGTAAAGAGACCAGTTACTCTTCATGAGGGACACCGGGACTTCTTCATCCACTCATGGGACTCACAGGGTCATAAAATGACTGTTCCTGTCATGGTGCTGCATCGTGAGYGTCACCATAACCATCACCATGAAGCTCACAAACATCACAACCAGCAGCACAATCTGACCATGAACACTGAGGTGGGTTTACAAATGATACAAATATAAGAAAGAGAGAATGAAAATCACAAAGAGTCTTGTTTCTTTGTAAGGTCTATCATGTTGTTGTGTTCTGTAAGACACTGCCCCCCTGTGGTTATGCTTAAAAATACATTAACTGCCTCATTTAGCTTTTTATGGCTGTTTTTGCTGTACAGCAGCTCTTATTCTTCATAAAACTATGAGTCAATATTTAAAGCTAAAATAGAATTTGACAAAAGTTTGACAAGTACAAGCAGAAAATCAAGCTGATGTTTTGTGGAAAACTAAGACCGTCTCTGATGGTTGGTCTCTTTCTGATCTCTAACTTAGAGTTCAGAAGATTCACAGGTGCCCATCTTGACTTTTGGCAAGTCAACTGAAGGGTTGAAAAGGAGGAAGAGGGCCTGGATCATTCCTCCCCTCAGTGTTTCTGAGAACCACAGAGGACCCTATCCCCTGAAAATCGCTCAGGTAAGAGGAAGAGATTGATGCTGAATTTTCATTTAGTTGAGTTGTGTTCACAGGTGTGTGTGTGTGTGTGCGTGTGTTATTTTTTTAAGTTAATGACAATAAAATGGATCTTTTGGTTTGGAATGTGTTCAGTCACACAAAAAAAATTTAATCAGGCAGCTCTGTTTTCATTCTTTTGGCAGTTTAATGCTTTATAACCAACTTTCTTTCTCTTTGCCTGTGGTTAATATTTGTAATTTTTTCCCCCTTTTTAATTTTTGGTGTTTTGTTTAGATCCGTTCTGATGAAGACAAAACAAAAAAGATCTATTACAGCATCACTGGTCCAGGAGCTGATCAGCCTCCTGTTAATCTTTTTACTATGAACAGAGATTATGGAAATCTCTATGTCACTCAAGTACTAGACAGAGAGAAACAAGCTGAATATAGGGTAAGCATGTTCTTTATTTACATACAGATGCTTTTGTCTTTTGGTGTTCATTTTTAATTACTGTAATGGTTACTGATAAAATCAGAAGATTGTAAATCCCTAAACAATCATGCTCCATATTGTATAATGAATTATGATAAAAAATATACTGTGATTGCAACAAATTGCGTTAAGAGCTGAAAAGATTGATGAAATAAAATTACTTTAACATCAGTGAGCTTAGTTAACAAGTATTTGGCTCATGTGGTCAAACATTGGTTTTGTATTTTTACAGAATTCAAACCCCTTTAAACTACTGATGTTATTGGGCCTAATACTTTTTCATTAGCCTATCTCATCACTTGATAGTACAACTCCTTCACCTATGAACGGTGAAAGAGGAGCTGACATGGGTGGATGTCAGTAGGATGAGCTGAAGATGTGATCTACAGATGACAAATTTTGCTGCATTGGTTTATAGAAATGTAAGAAAATACGTGTTCAATAAGGGCTGGTCAGATAAAAACACCAGTGTTAAATAAAATGATCTGTGATAAGAAATAAATGCCATACAACACCAGAATTCCGGAGTGAGGTTTATTGCCACCAGAATGACAACCGAAACCACACTGGCTCAGAAACAGGAAGTCACTTTTTATATACAGTCCAGTATCTTCCAGTATCTTCAATGCCTGAGTTCGCCCCCTGCTGGCCTACAGCTGAATCACAGGCATTTGGACAGACAAACCTCAATCTAATGTTAACACAGCTTTTAATTATGTGTTGTTAATAATTCGGACATGCATCTACCCTATTTCAATTAACACATTGTAAGAAATATAACAAACATTATAAATGTATTATAAAATAGGAAACCCTAATACTCTGGTATTGTATGTAATCAGTACTAAGCCATAATAACTAWAAATTTCTTCAGAAATATGGTTCAAACAATCCTATGAGGTCAAGGGATTATATATTTGTTTATAAATGTTCTATGTATATTATTAATTCTTATTATTCTTATTAAAACTTTCTATTTGGTGTTTATCTCTACTTTGTCTTTGCCTTACAAGTAGGGTTGTGACAATCATTGTTTGATATTTAATTATGACCTGATTATGGCTGTATTACCTACGATTAAGAAACATGATTGTTTGCTTAAGTGTTATGAAACTGAACTTCATTTCTTTATTTCACCTTTGTACCTATTTTTTAATAGCTTCAAGCACATGCTGTGGTAGATGGTTCAGGAGATGCTGAAAAACCTATGGAAATTATAGTGAATGTAATTGACCAAAATGACAACAAACCTATTTTTGAGAAGTCCTCCTACATTGCTGAAGTTCCTGAGGCCTCCAAAAAAGGTAAAGTTGGTGAAATGGCTTTTTTTTTACTTGTATATGTATATGAGGATGTAAATTACAATAAGAGAAAAAAGTATTTCTGGCAAACACTGTTTTAAAGGGGCAATATAGAGCTGGGCGGCATGACCTCAAATTCATATCGCGGTATAAATTGGATCCCTTCACGGTAACTGCAGTTAGAATGAATGACCTACGGAAGCGCTCCGTCCTGCAGCGAGGATGTTTAAGTCTCTGACTGAAGGAGCTGCTCAGCCCCACCACGGTTTCATGCGGAGGGTGGTGGGGGTTGTCCATGATGGCTGTGAGCTTTGCTAATTGATAGCTAATTGACTAATTTTCCTTCAAGTAAAATTAGTCATTTAGACATAAAAAATTCAATGTTGCCTAAAATGTTAAAGTGTGACAGGACCTTAAGGGGCTTAAGCTGCACATAGTCCTGTCATAATCCAATTTCAGATAACTGGAAGTGTGGTGAAGCCAAATAAATGTAACATCTGCCTGCCATACAATGAGCTTCTGCCTGCTACTTATTGGCTGCTGCTCTGCTGCGCTCTCATCTTCATTATCTTCATCATCAGAGCAGAAGCTGACTTTAGGCTACATTAGCAAGATGGATTTATGACTGAATGAACATCCACGTCTTTTTTATCACATCTGTGGGTAACAATACAAACAAATTTTTTCTCCGACAACTTGGGTGTGAAAAAACTACGGTTGTTAAAGCTTCGTTCTGCCAGACGAGCAGCGAGAGGAGGGAGGAAATGATCCCGCATCCCGCGACACGACGTAACTTTTCTACAGCGGCAGGGGGGAATTTTGAAGATTTATTCTTTCTATACGCATTTTAAAACACTATTTTCTTCATTATATTTCAAACTCCTCCTGCTCAGTTGTCTCTGCACTCGCAGCCCTGTTGACACAGGTGTGATGACGTAACTGACGATATGACTGCAGAGTGTAAATTTCTACTGTAGGCCAACTTCATACAGTTTCTATCATCTACCGCTTATACCGCGCAGCCCTAGGACAATATCATGTAAAATTAACTGTTTTATATCATGTTATGTTATACTCTCATAAAAAACATGCCCAAAGCCTTGCTTTGACTCATTCATGCATGTTTGAGAAATCCTGCAGCGTTTTTAGGCAGCCTTGCTGAGGAGCAAAACGACAGGTGGGGACCAGAAATGCCTCCCCTGGGATGTGTCTTTAAGCCAAACTTCCTCATGGCAGAGCGCCCCCCCCCCCCAAAAAAAAAAAAAGTGGTTGGATTTTCTTAAAGAGACAGAGACCTACTTCAAGGCGTTTAGAAACAGTCAAGATGAGAAGTACATTGTTTTGGGGATTTTTACAAATATATAGCTCTTTCATAAGCTGAAAATGTGACAGTTTATTTTAGTATAAAATTGAAATATAGGCTTGGAAAGCACATAATATCGCCCCTTAAATACATCTTTACAATGGGGGAAATCTACAGTCTCTTCAGATTGTTGGAGCAGAAAGGCAAATCCCTTGGTTTTTGTTGTTAAATGATGACATTTGAGTTTATGAGCAAAAGATGAGTGAGACAAAATTTACAATTATTCAGCTTGGAGGAGGGTTGATGGATTCATAACCAGACCCGAGGTTACTGAGGTAGCTTGGAAAGCTGTGGGCCTGCAGGGCTCTGGGGTAAATAAAATCAGCTGATTTCCTCAAGTTTATGGATGTCTCTGCAAGTATTGGATTGTGGGTTTGTTGTTATGGGCCATTCCATCCCCATACAAGCGGTGCAAGAGTTTTGCATTGCCAACAGTAAGTCGGACCCCTTCAGGGTTGGAGTTAGACACTGCAACGGCTGCCTGTTTTCCCAGGTTCTGTTCATAACTTTACAGACAGAATGTCTCAGTGCAGCCAGGGGGCTAAGGCGGTTTGGTTCAGCAACCTCAGGAATCCATCTGTGTCTGTGTGTTGTAGTCCTCAGAAGAGTTGGAAGAAGTGGCTGCTTCTCTGCTCAGGCTGCTTCCTTGTGATCTGACTTCTGAACAAATGGAAGATGGATAGATGGGTGGATCAATGTAAAATTTCTTCTCTAAACTTGCAACTTTTTTTCTCCTTGACAGGTGCTGATGTGATTCAAGTCGTGGCAACAGATGCTGATGAACCCAACACGGACAACTCTGATATCCGCTACCGTATTAAGAGCCAGAGCCCTGAGAGACCTGACAAAAACATGTTTTCTATTAACCCTGTCACTGGAGTCATCATGGTGAATGATCCACGGCTGGACCGAGAGGTGAGTTGTGACAAAGAGTTACCTAATGAACTTTCAAAGAAAGTTATTAAAATGTACACATATCTCGGTTCTCAACAAAACTAGCAGTGGATTTGTAATCCATCATGACCAAATGACAAAGAATATCTTAATTTTCTGAACAAGCAGTTGTTATTTAATTTATTTTCACACCCAGGACATATCTCTCACAGTTCTTCTGGCCTGTGCTGGATAGGTGTGAAAGTAGGGAATGGAGTTGGAAAGTGTTGCATGGGATGTTTGGTCCCACTCATAATTGACATGACTCCTATTAGGGGTGTCCCGATCCATTATTGATGTTGGATTATCGGTCCGATATCAGCCAAAAAATGAGTATCAGATTTTATCGGCCTGCATAAAAAATCTCTGATAAAAGTGCTCCGATATAAGCAGTCCAACCCAGCAGTCCACTGACTCCACTCCAGCTTCTCTATTCAGCAGCGCTTGGATCCAGCATGCAGAGCCCACATGATCACAACAATATACTGCGCTAACAAGTTGGCAAGAAGTAGGAGCGATGTCGGCAGAACTTTCTATTTTCATCAAAAACGGAGTAGAAGCTAAGTGCAAAGTTGTCACGCTCAAGTTTTCCATGGGGACACAGAACCGTGAACGTTTTAAAATGGAGAGACAACTTCGCTCTGCTCTCCACTCTGGCAGCAGCTTTGCGGTTCGGCCTCGGTCCAAAAGTGTCTCCATGTTTCCAACCAAGCAGAACCTCTTCTCACTCCAGTGGTTCTAAACATGTAGAATTAGTACAGCATGCTTACGAATTCGATATCGGCAAAATGCTGCCCGTGGATTAGCTCTGGGATTGATGGACAGAAGAAAGGAGAGCGCAGCTTTTCTTTTGGAATACAAGCGCGACGTGATGAGAGCAGTGATAAAAAACTGCTCCCTGCAAGAGAGAGAGGCTAATCTCCACATGATGCTCAGAAAATGCAGCAGTAAGAAAAGTAGCTATCAATTTAATTCACTGACTAATTCTTACTACTTATTTTTTGCTGTTGTTATTAGAGTGATGTTTAATCTGTTTACATACTTGTTTTAGTGAAGATTAAGTGCAATGATCATGTTGTTTTGGGCACAGTCAGTTAAATTAGCTGTGGACTTATAACTTTGTACAGAAAATATGTGGGGTTTTGTTTTGTCCCCATATTCAGTTATTCCCACCATAAAGCAGCACCAGGCTGACGGTTAAAAAAATAAAAATAAAAAAAATACTTTAGTGATTTTGAATTGCTATTTTACACTTTAAAAATTTTTTATGTTTTATTTTCAGGGTATTGTAATTTTATTTATTAAATTGTAGAATGTTCTTCAGTTTAAAAAGTATGTGATCTATTGGTTAAAAACAAATAGGTCAATTTTTCTCATACCTGCTCTTTTTCACTGTTTGACTTGATCAAGACTTTTCCAAGATTTCACACTACAAAATAGGTCAAAGTGTGTGATTCATACTGATATGGTATCTGGTCTATTAAAATGCCCTAAATTACTGTGTCTCTAAGACGGAGAGCATTCTGAGTATCGGTTGATCTGATTGGTTTATGTAACCTCTTGAATAGCCAATGACGTTCACATTCTACATTGTTCTTAAGGATAATGGCTGCAGAAACGTGGATGCTGTCATATTTACTGGTGGTATTGAAGAATACTGGGCGCGAGTTCATGAAAACTAAGTTCTTTAGTGCCTGTGATACAAGTTTTGTTGTATAAATCTGTATGTTTTTATATTAAGTTAATAATGAGAGAAGAATGTTGAATTCAGTTAATGTTAAGCTAAGAGCAGTTTGTGGTCATGGAGTGCCCCCTTGTGGCCGAATGAAGAATTTTTCTTTATTTGATTCTGTACACTTTGAGTAAAGTTTATTCTTTTTCTTATTTGTAGACCACACCCATATGTATATTCAGCATCACCAGCAAGTGAAGAAATAGAGTTAAAGGGAATCATGTGTGTTCAGTCATCTCTAACCAGATGCCCATGGTGGCTATAAATTACAAAGAACCCTCAAATCTTCACTACAGGGTCAATATCTGTATCTGCCAATTCTTAAAGTTGCAATATCGTATTGTATCGGAAGTGAAAAAGTTGTATCGGGACACCCCTAACTCCTATGGTATAATCACTCTGAATGTAGTCATGTGACCTATGGTAAAGAAGACAACTTATAAAGCTGTAAAAATGGATGTTGTGAAGTAGACGTTTGATTAAGCATTTTTGCCATGTCAGCCAGCATGGGGGCAAAATGGTTTTCTAAAGAATCTTACATCAGTTTTGAGAAAAATGCACAATTAATACAATAACAGTACAATAAATTTGTGCTAGCATATAACATACATTAGAAACATACGAACATTAGAGTTGCTGCAGTACGTGTTTTATTGCAGTCATCAGTACATGGTAGAACTTAATTACATTTAGTGTGAACTAAGAGTGTACATTTCACATGACACAACTAAGTGTTGTGTAGAACCGGTCGTATAATCCACGGCTCTAGAATGTGACTAATTTAGTCGCAAATGCGACCTGATTTTTTAATATAGTGTGCCTTAAAAAATATTTCCGGTAGCAGTGGTGTGCCTAGTCATTCGAGGAAGTGGGGGGAGTGCAGTCGTCCGCTGAAACAAAAAGTCTCCATGTCCCATAATAAAGCTATTTCGCAGTACGAACACAGCGCTCCACTTTACACACGCACACTTGTTCCTTATGGGGACGTAGACCTTCCAATTGTCCCCTCCCATGAAGCAAAAACATGCGCACACAGTGAATTAAGTTTTTTTTTTCTCAAACCAGATTCGGAAAAACTTTTTTTTTTCTTAACTGTGGAAATCGTGGATGGTTGCTTGCTCTGAAGTCTCAGTAGTAAAGTCCATCTTGCAGTTGGGTTCTGCTCTAACACAGCAACAGATCACTCCAGCAGCATGAGGAAGCTCACCTGTATGGCAGGCTCCTTTGACAGATAATTTGCTTTGCCACAGTTACATTCCAGGTTCTGAAAATGGTTTTATGACTACACATCTTAGTTTTTTTAAGTAAGAGATAAATAAAATTCAACTAATACAAATTAAATTGCAGACTTTTTTCATGTTATGTTGTTTTTATTCTTTTAAAAAGCTTTTTTTCATTTAATAAATATTAGTAATATATCTGCTGTTAATCATTATTCTCTGTTCATCATTCTGAAGGCCAAACTACAGGAGTTTTCCATCTGAGGGGCAGGTGTAGTCTAGAAGACGTTTAGCCTTGAAATGTTTAAGATGTTCATAAAATGTTCAAACCTTAAACATTTGCACTTAGAATTTAGAATTTCTTTCATTTTATGCTATCTTTGTTTATCTTGAGATGTTTAAGTTAAAATTTCAGGTCATAGAATGACTTAAAATACATTTCAGTAAGTTATATGTCCACGATTCTGGTTCAAATACAGACCTTTATTTTTGCTAGATCATATTTGTAGTGTAAAATGGATATAAAAATGTATTAGTTTGTTTGCCATCCATTAAAATCTCACTAACAGTTCTGAAGATTTAAATCTGCAATGATGTTACAATAAATGTAAAAACGCCTAAAAAATCTCACATATCTTGGTAACATTACTACTTCTTTATGATGTAACTTGTTTTCTTCCAACAGATTGATCCTCAGTATGAACTGATCGTTACTGTAGCAGACCTTCAGGGTGAAGGTTTGAGTGGGGAAACAAAAGTAATAATCAAGGTGATAGACAGCAACGACCATGCTCCAGTCTTCACAGAGATGTCTGTAAGTATAACAAACATAACGGCATTGTTTAACTTATCTGTATCAGTACTTGGGATGAGATTTATAGGTTGGTCCGGTACAGCAGGGAAAAAAAACAACAAAAAGCAAAGGCTAGGTTTTTGTTGTAAGAATAAAAGGACAATAACTCTGCCAGAAGCAGAGAAAGAGAAGCACATCATACATGTGAGAAGACTCAAAGGTAGCAGGTCATGTTCAGCACGGTAGGATTTGTCAACATCTAATTTTGCTATTTAGAAAAAAATGTCATCTTTTTCAATAATCCAAGCTATAAATGATGTGCTGCAACCTATGTGTCAAAGTTTTAAAATCTCCAGATATCATCTTTGGTTTAAAAATATTTTAATTTGATAGAAACATGATGCAACATTTGAAAAAAGACCTCATTGTAAAAGTGCTAAATAAATGTGAGCATTCAGTCATGTCGACTTTTTAGTTCCTATATTGAAATGTAGCACTTTGTCCCTTAAAGCAGTGGTTCCCAAACCTTTTCTGATGGGCCCCCCTTTGGTTTATAAAAATAATTTCATGCCCCACCACACACACACACACACACACACGTTTGTTTCTCGACCCCGTGGGGACCTTCCATTGACTTCCATTCATTTTTTAGACTTTATATCCTAACCCTGACTATATACTCTAAAAATTAACCTCACAGCTACTTACCTGACCCTAAAACTCACCTAAACCTTGGTCCTAAACCTAACCCCCTACCCGTAACTTATATATGGGCTCGTGGG